TGTAGGCACGTCGTAAATTTGAAATTTCAAACTACTTTATAAAAAATCTAGCTGACCCGGCAAACGTTGTTTTGCCATATATAAGATTTCCAGAGAATTTCTAGTCTAGAAAAAAAAACTAACTTGTTGTAAGTATGTAAGCATGTGGTAAATGAGTGAAAGAGGCATGTAGCGCTGTGAATGATGAGGGAATATAAAAATAACAAAACCTCATTGAACCAAATAATGCCTTATCACTTAGGGATATGAAAAATAGATAGTAGCTGATTCTCAGACCTACTGAACATGCATATAAAATTTCATAAAAATCGGTTAAACCGTTTCAGAGGAGTATGGTAACTAACATTGTGACACGAGAATTTTATTTAAAAGATAATTTATAATGGAGTGGAGCTTACATTTTGGGCACACACAAAAAAAATCAAGACGCACAGATGCACACGCAAAGATCAATCCAAGAACCATTATAATATACATAACTATAGATACATAGATTTGACAGAAAATAGTCTATCGAGTTAGATAGTTTCACAATTAATTTACCAATAGTCTTCGTCAGGCATCACATCTCGACTCACAAATGTTTTAAAAATTATGATTTCTGTTTACTTTCTATTTATTAGCTCGCAAATGAGTGAGTTTTTAAACAAAATATTCTGTTATAAAATTTCTTGACAGACTAATTGAGCTAAAACTGTATGTAGCTCGCTGAATTAAAAAAAAATGTTGAAAATGTTTAAATCCTCAAGGCCACTAACTACCCAAAACAGTCAATAAAAATGTAATTAAGATTTTATTGCTTTGTCTAATTCGAGTTATGATCGTGAAAATGATAATGTGTAATTAGTAATTTTAATGTTTGGGGATAATACATTTGCGCGTACGTTTCGACTTTGAAAAATTTCAAACGTGCCATGAAATAAAGTTTGAAGCCAATTCGTTACAATACATAATATTATTATTTACTGTCACAGGTACCGTGGATAGGGATAAATAGAACTTCCCATTTAATTACTTAATTAAAACTGCAAAGGCTCTTTTTTTAATTACGTAGACAGATGAATCATGCTCGAAATTCCGTGGACGGCCAAGAGGACAAATAAGTCTATTCTGGATCAGCTTCGCATCCGAGTCGGGCTCTCAACAATCTGCTACCAGAAGATATTTAGTTACTTCGGTCACATTGCCCGCCGACAGCCGGATAACTTAGACAAAGTGACGAGCAAGGGGAAGAGATCCCGCAGCCGCCGGGGTGACGAAATAACCGCCCTAAATGGGCTTCCATTTGCAACCGCCCTACGAAAAGCTGAGGACCAGACGAGGTGGAAACAGCTCATGAGACAGGCCACGGTCAAGTATCAAGGACACCGCAACCTTCAGTAATGAAGAAAGCGCCGAAGAAAAACACGGATGAACGTTCTTACGACAGACCTATTGTTAAGTGGTTACCGGAGCCCATACACATCTACTGCGGAGACCGGCGTCGTAGGTGGTGTCTATCGCCTCGACGACCGGTCGGTTGAGCGTCCTCAGGGTGACGCCGCGTGTCTGGTTGTAGTGTTGACCGCGGGAACGTCCCTACTCTGACCGGGTTCTGACCCCGGATGGAGATAAGAGACGGAGAGACGTCTGGTGGAAGAGTGCAGTCGTTTAATGCGGCAGGGCCCTAAGTTCCTTGGCCCGCGGTCAGCTCCCAACACCTGGAGATCGTTAAGTTCCTCATACCCAGCGCGCCCCATAGGCGCAGGGACCTCGAAGGAGGAAATGTCTAAATTTTTGCAAATTTCATTTTTAGTACACGATGTTATTCCTTTACCGTTGAAGTTATTTGTTCTTAATTACGTATTTCATTAGAGAAATCGCGATCTATCTGCGGGATTTCATACGGGTAGACCGGCTGTCTCATCTTTTAGGACAAGATAACTCCGGTCCTTTCCGAAACTGTTACAATTATTGTTTAGTTTAGTTAACAATAGGTAGTAATGTATTTTTTGCGTACAAAGCGTTGTATTTAATTTTTTATAATCGCCACTTCATTTTATTCCAATTTAAAAGTAATAATCGAATACCTTAGATTTTAATCTCGAGATTTTAATCTAAGCTATTAGATTATTAAATATTCGATTTATCGAATATACGGCAATATTCATTGCAAATTCGTTTCAATATGATTACTTGTCCAACGCGTTCAGCTTAATTCACAAAATAATAACATAGCTGGCCACGAGTAGCGAAATTACAAATTCTTAAAGCTTATTAACAAAACTTCCTGACACACCATAATGTAATTTGACAGTGTAAACGTAATATTCATGTTAATGCTCACCATACAACTTTAACAGAAAATAAAACCGGCTTCAACAAAATAAACAAAAAAAATTCATTGCACCTACCACTACTGCACTACCTTTGGTTGACTGGTAGAGAATGCCTTAGGCATTAAGTCCGCCAATGTAAATTTTACATGAAGTGTTATTTTTTTTTTTTTTTTTTCCTACCTATGCTGATAGCCTTAAGAGGCTATTTCAGCTTCGCCCTTACGTTAGTAGGTGAGCTCGCGCGGCTCAACCGGAGAGTTGCTAACACTGACCCTAGCAAGAGCAGTGCTTCGCAGAATCTACCACCGGATCGGAAACGCGACCCACTGAGAAGATCCGGCGAGAAACTCAGTGGGCTGTGTCTATGGGTTAGTTCGCTCGTCGAGCCCTTCGTCGCAAGCGACGGATTCGACGAGGACGGTGACCGGTGCTTGTGGTGCCTAAAAGCACCGTTAATGGATCAGGAGGATCCGTAATGACGTGCTTTGGGCGACGTCGACGGTTTACCATTCGGTCTACTAGGTCGGGTATGTAATTTCCAGCGGCTACGATGAGAGGGTTCTCATGTCGTGCCGCCTTCTCAAAATGGCGCAGCGATGCCGACTGTAGATACTTACTAAATGAGTCGAGCTCCAGGTCATCGTGGAGATCCACGTTCCTAAGGAACCAAGGCGCTCCGACGGCTATCCTGCAGAATCGTGATTGAATAACCTGAAGGGATCTCAAGTGGGTGCGGGCTGCGTGAGCGAACACTACGCTTGCATACGTCATGACGGGGCGTATACAAGTTTTGTAGAGAGTTACTTTATTGCGAAGGGACAGTTTGCTTCGACTACAAAGCATTGGATAGAGTCGTCCTAGAATAAACGCGGCGCGGTCGCGTACCGTTTTTATATGGGGACGGAATGTCATCCCTCTGTCGAGGGTGACGCCTAGATATTTGACCTTCGAGACCCACGGTATGGGCTGGCCAAAGAGAGTGATGGGACTAACGGCGGAGGTGGTTGCGCGCCTACTACGGAGTGGGATGCTCGAAGTGATGTTCGGAGGGCGACCCCTTTTGAAGAGCACCGCTGCGCTTTTCGTGGGGTTGATGTCTATTCGCCACTTCCGGAACCACTGTCCCATGGTGGCTACTGCGATCTGGAGTCGCCGATGAAGCAGCGACATCTTCCTACACGAGTAGTAGATAGCCGTGTCATCGGCGAAGAGCGCTAGATGGGTCTCCGGAGACCGGGGTATATCATTGATATACAAACTAAATAATAACGGGGAGAGCGCGGAGCCTTGCGGGACTCCGGCAGTCAGTTGACGGGGACGAGAACGAGTTCCCTCTACTCGATATCGAAACGAACGGTTCGACAAGAAGTCTCGTATGATGAGCACGAGTCTGTCTGGCACTCCCATGTTGTACAGTTTGTAAATTAAACCGTTGTGCCAGACTTTGTCGAACGCCTTCGCGATGTCGAAGAAGAGGGCGCCGGTCGGGATTTGTTTACGCCTATTTAGTCCTATCAGAATGTGCTCCGTGAGGCGGTGCACTTGTTGTACGCACGAGTGTTTAGAGCGGAATCCGAACTGTTCGTCTATGAGAATTTTGTTCGCGGTAACAAAATCCCAGAGGCGTTTCCTAAGGAGCCGTTCGTAAATTTTTCCTATCGTCGGGAGGAGACTAATCGGACGGTAACTAGAAGTTTCGTTTGTCGGTTTGCCCGGCTTATGTATACCGATAACGTCCGCTTCTTTCCACACCGCGGGAAAGATGCAGTGCGTCATAGCGGCATTTAAAATTGTAGCCAACATTGCTATCAGTTGGACTGGCAAGAGTTTTAGCGCGCGGTTGCGGATGCCGTCGGAGCCGGGTGCCTTCCTAGGTTGGAGGTTGTGGATCGCGTCTCTAACTTCGTCAGTGGTAATGGGGGGTAACGCGTCCGAGGGCGGCAGGGAAGCTCTGCGCTCGACCTCCCTGTCGACTAACTCGGTGTGTTCGGGGTCCGCGTGTTGAGTGCTGGTGGTGCACTGCTCTTGCAGTGCATCGGCCAGCAGCTCAGCCTTGTCATCGTCATCGAATGCCGGTGGTTGGCCTGAAGGGCGTACGAGGAGAGGCATAGTAGCGGTAGTTTCGGATTTGAGAGTCCTAGCTAGTCGCCAGTATGCTTGATGGGTACATGAAGTGAAAATAAATACATAAATAAATAAAAATAAGATTATCATGAATTTGTCTATGTATGTAATATTAGGGATAACTCGAAAACATATTAATGATTACATATTAATGAAACTTAAACGTGAGCACACAACAAGCACCAGCTTATAAATATAAAGACAACCGTTAAAATTGATTCACAACAAAAAAATGAACTAACAGTAACAAAAAAATAGAAACAAATTGAGAGCCCCTAGAAATAAATATTTACTAATTTAATTTAATAATTTCTAATATTCTCAAAAGAAAGTGTCCGCAGCATTACTGCAATACCTGTTAACGCAGTAATAATGAAATAGTATATCGTAACTAGAAATCAGATGTATATCCCTTTCAGGTCTAAAATTTTTTTTGCTAAAATTTCATTTTATTTTCTAATACAAGGGAAGGGAAGCTTTAATGCCTTCATTAAAAAATAAAATAAAAAATCCAAAATGCCTCCAGAGTCAGGTACTACCTCTGCACGATAGTGATGTTTAGGCTTTAAATGAACTAGAGCACGATAGTGATGTTATTGGGTTTTTGAATATTATGGTGTTCGTTAATGGAAATAAGAGCCAAATTTTATCAAAATCAATATTTATTTCTTCTAACATTATTATAACAATCAGTCTTTTTAATTGTTTCAATCAGTCTTACAAATAATATAGCTAGGTTTTATTTTGTATGATATGCTGCAAAGCAGTTTTGTCCTCTTTTGAGGCAGAGATACACATCACACTTTACACACCGAATCTTTGACCTGCTTTTACAATTTTCCATTCTGCATGCGCGAGGATTATCAATGCTTTCAAAACATGGAAGGTGGTCGTAGCCGTCGTACTTTTTGGCTTGAGAGGGCTGATTTGTTCTCTTAAACCTTGTATTATTATTTTGCGCTACATTTTCGACAGCATTTTCATCACTCTCGCTAATCCTCCTTCGGCGATTAGGCGTGTTGGTAAGCCCATCTGCTACTTGCATCCGAAACTCTAACAAGTCCATAACTTTGCTATTTGGGATCGCAGCTGCTGCACATTCCAATTTATACAAGCGCCATGCATTACAAAGAGCCAGATCAAAGAAATGGAGTATGACCTTTAACGTCCATTTTCTCGTCTTCATAAAGGTGCGGTAGTACTCCATTGATTGATCAAGGATGTCCACACCACCCATGTACCTATTGTAATTAGCGATTATTTTGGGCGCGGTAACATCAGTGAAAGCAGAGATATTTTTATCCCAACGCTGTACAAATGTTGTATCGTCAGCAGATGTGCAGTTTGATGCAACTAGCACGGATTTGTTATCCATCCATTTAACAACTACGACATCGTCACACACGAACTGTTGCGATTCACCACGTTTCATACGGCGATCAGGTTTGAAATCGATGTTTTTCCGTTCAGGTATTCGATTCATCATTAGCGTTGCTGTACCGTGTAGCCCAATAGTGCTTAGCTTTTCAAGCAAAGGTATTGACGAGAAGTACCGGTCAAAATAAATGCAGCTGCCTCTTGGAATTGACTTAGAAAGATGTAAAATTATCGACGCTCCAACTCCCAAAGATCTGTCACCCATTGAAGTGTTGGCACCTCTATAAACTTCAAAGTCAATCATTAGTCCATCATGTGTGGTGGCCACAAAAACTTTTAAACCTTGGGGTCGAGGCTTGGTTTTGATAACCTGTCGCAGCCCACGTGGACATACACCACTAAAAGGGATCATTTGTTCATCTATGGAAAAATATCCCGGCTGTCTTTCGAGTCGATCACATGTTTTTTTAACCCGGTCAAGTATTGGTTGTACTTTCCACAGTGTGTTGGTATTTCCTGTCGGAGCAGTGTCACTGTCAACGACGTGCAATGCTGAACGCAGAGTCTTGAACCTGTCTCTGGCCATGACGTTCGCGACTATATCCAATCGTAATCCTTCTCGCCAGTACATGAACAACCGCGGGTATGGGATACATCCCATGATGAAATGTATGCCTACCAGTTTCTTTAATTCAATGGCATTTGTGTTTAAGATACGGCCATTGTGGCGCATGAAATAATTGTTGGTACAAAACGCAGTTGACTCAAAAAAATCATCATTAAAATAGTCGCTAAAATATTCTAAGGGTTCTCTGATAACACCCGGCTGAACGCGTTGTGGGTAGCCATGTTCTTTTTGACTAAAAGCCTCCTGTCTCCAAAGTCTTCTTCTGGCTTTTGCTTTGTTTTGAACCACATTTCTACGTTGAGGTTGAGCTGGGGGCGGTATTGGAAATTGTGGTGATGGAACATCAATGACAGCAGGGTTACAAGGCCTTTGGAGAGGCAATTCGTCATCATCATCGATACCTTCTACTTCAGAATCGTTTCCGTCTTGAAGCAGATGTAATATTAAATCGCTGTCCAACGGTCTCACTAACAAAAACAAAAAATATAGCTGTTAAATTCAAAAAATGTTAGTCAATAGTTAAAAATGCTCAAAACAGAGTTAAGCCTAAACGTCATTATCGTGACTTTTGATATTCAAGGTGTAATTTTAGTTTGAAATCGTAAGTTTCAACAGAAAATAAACTAGTAAAATAGATCACTTTTAATAGCAGTAACTAAATAATAACAATGGCTTAAGTTTCAATAACAATTTGTACGAAATATCAGAACTTACGCACTCCGCTACCATTGTCAAAGAACGCCGTCATCTTTGTCGCCTCACCAAAGACCGACTAACAGGTCAATCGCGCAAAAATTATTATAAAGCGTGTAGCGTAATTCATGCACACTCGTGTGGTGCAGTCTTCGTCCCGTAAAGTTAATTCCGCAAGACGTGGGAATTTTTTAAACGAAGGTGCACTAACGTGTTTGATCGACCTTAAAGGGATAAGAAAGTATTGCTTAAAACGTAGAATGAATCAAATAAAACAGATGATTAAATCTTAAAAGTTTATGTCTGCAGCTCACGAATACCTCAGGAAATACAAATAGGCAATTAATTTGGTTCAATTTTTAACTAATTCCACAAAAAAATAATTAGATTTACAACTTAACAAAATCGAACTCTACCGGCCTGCATGGCGTTATGTTGTTACTATATCGTCATCATATTGTTATTATTATTATATGTTATATGTTAGTGGTGAACTCGTCGAACCATTTTTAAGTAATACAACAAAATAAATAAAAATCCATCACCCGCATTTCGACATGAAGTCGAGATCCGAGTCAATTACTAATCTCAAGTGTTTCCTATATTGTTCTATTACACAACGGTGTAACTCGTCGCCCGTTATTTACCTGAGTTATTACGAAAAGATTTACGAGACAAGTTTACTGTTTACTCTTGATTGTTTAATTATAGTTCGGCTAATAAGCTCGGAAACGAATCGAATTACATTTGCAAATAAGATAACACGATTTTAGCCGGGCACATCGAACGAAGGGCGGGACAATCATTTTAGCTTAAATTAATGAAGTTTTATTTTTTATTTCATCTCGTCAGGGTTCGTTCAGAAGCAAAATAAATTAAGGCAACCTGATCGGAAAATATAAACTAAGCGAAAACACTAGTTGTTTAAAGAGTTCCTATTTCGTGACGTCGCATTGTAATGCAAAAAGATCTAACGGGATTCCGCGTACTAGCGCTTATAGTGAAGTGTTGCTTACATTGAGTGCAATGCACAATAGTCGATATTAATTTTTTTTTTGGTGTTTCTTATTCTCTTGCACCAGGAATTGCAAATGAAATAAAGCGGCTCAGGATACTTACTCTCTGGCAACTCTGTCTGTCTGATCCTTATACCTTCAGAGGCATTTAAATTGGATACAAAAACGATCTTCAATAAATTTTTACGAAAGGTCAAATTGCCGGATCTCTATCCCAAGTGTTTCTTCTTGGGAAATGCTTAAAGGCATTCTGCGATATTGTTTGCTATTAAACACATCATAAAATCTACACAAAAACTAATTACATTTCACATTCAAGTATGTATCTCATTTTTTGTGAAATCTTATTAATTATGTCGCAAACGTTGAATTTCTCACTCATCCTTATTCACTAGACTAAGAGCTACCAAAGTCATTGAACCGACATCCGCGCTAAAGGCTATTGGCCCACATAGGTTAAGCACAGCGATAGTTCATTCCAATTGATATATAGCCTTCATTCAGAATTGCCCCGGGCCACCATTCCTATTAACTTGGGTGGTATATTGTACTGTGACAGACGTGTGACGTGGCTCCGATACGAAACGCATTTCTATGGTTCCTACAATAACAGCGGCAATGATTTACCTTCAATATACGTTGCCGGGAAATTGAGGGATTAGTGTTTAAAGTTCAGTCGAAGGCGGGCAGTCATTGATGTATTAAAAATATAAATATAAGATATAATAATATATGCTATGATAATATATAAGAAAAATAAATGTTTTTAAATATCACTGGTAGTAGGACCTCTTGGGATTCTGCACGGGTAGGTACCACCACCCCGTCTGTTTCCGCCGTGAAGCAGTAATGCGTTTCGGTTTGAAGGGCGGGGTAGCCGTTGTAACTATACTGAGACCTTAGAACTTATATCTCAAGATGGGTGGCGCATTTACGTTGTAGATGTCTATGGGCTCCAGTAACCACTTAACATCAGGTGGGCTGTGAGCTCGTCCATCCACATAAGCAATAAAAAAATAAAAATAAAATCAAATGCGGGCAGTACGTGAATTTGCGTAACTATGTTCGGCCTTAAATTTATCATAGTTATATTTAATTGTAACTAAGTACCTCAGTACCTTGGATCGGACAAATAATTTAAATGGAAAAGAATGCTGACATTATTTTCAGTAATATAATTTGCTTTCCAGTATCGAAAATAGCAGAAATATTAAAAATCTGTTCAGAAATTCACAATAAATAAGATTGTCGTAGAAATTGTCGGGTAATAAAATAAGCTGTACACGTGGATCTTGACAGCCAACCCCGCCATTTTGATATGGCCGACCGATAGAGATGCTCCAATTAAGTCTTAAAAATATTATTGTTCTTTGGAAGAAGGTTTCTTATTTTTATTATTGTCCATTCAAATTAAAGAGTACAAGCAAACGTAGCTAATATTTTATTAGTCATTAAATCTTGACCGCCGAGGGAAAGCTGTTCTATTGAATACAATTAAGCGCAAAATTATTTTAAGTTGATTATTCATTTATATAAAAATCATTTATAAATAGGACGAATAGAGAGAAAAATGTTTTATATAGATTTTCAACGAAATTACAAAGTTATTTTATCCATTAATTAGATTGCATACATTGTCTCAACGGCCAGACATTTTTATTTATTTATTTAAGAAGTAAGGTATTATTAGGTTTTTGCTGAAATCACTTTTACGTTTTCTCTTAGTTACCGGACTTACATGCCATAGAAAAAAAAAAAAAAAAAATTTTTAGAATAATCATTTAGTTATAACAATGATTAAAATTCTGAATACTGTCCTTATGACTAAAACCAATAACACATAATACTCGTAACACTTTCATAAAACACACAACAAATAACTATTTCAAATGCTTAGAACAAAATCGCACATTTTACCCGGTATTGAAGGACTACCTACTGAAGGCAGTACTGTAGACATTGACAACACAAATATTAGCAAACGCAAGACTTCTAAACCTAATGTCTCAAAATTGGCGACGGCATGAACATGGTTGATGTCTATGGTCTCCAGTGACCATTTAAAATCAGATAGGCCATGAGCTCGTCCACCTATCTAAATAAAAAATTAAAAACAAAAATAGAAAATATAACTACTCACATTGAGGTCAAAGCTTAAATTTAGTTACAATATGTCCAACTTGAAACATATTTTTATTTAGTACAAATTTTCCAATGTTTCATTTAAGTCCTTTCACGAATTAAAAGAGTACCATGAGCGAAGAAGCGTTTTAAACATCACACTAGTAAATAAATAAACCAACAATCAAAATAAGTCGCCGAATTCGAACAAGGGGTCATCATTTTTTAAATACAGTTCCACGGGAATGAAAACAATTTTAATGTACAGGCTGAATAAAAAATATATATCCTAAAATAAGTGGGATAACACAATTTTAGTGCATTACTTTATGCATTCATAACAATTCAAACAAGTTTTATTTTTATTCCTTTTATTCACGTGCGCTTAATGAAAAGCGTGGCCGTAAATCGTTGCAAAATTAAAATGACAGCATTAACTCACACAACGAACAAATAGAAGCGTTCAAACCACGGGATATAAACCTTAGGTCATACTTCAGACGAAGATTTATGGTAATATCTTATTAAAGCATTTTGCTAAGACTTTAAGTAACCTCCTATTGCACTTTAACTACTAATAGCGGGTCAAAGGATTTTCCAAAAGCTGGATGTGGCAAATACCTGATCCTATAAAAATATCGAAAATTAGAATTCAATTAAAATTAACTAGTACGTGGAGTGATTGAACTCATACAATACCAATTGTTTGCTTTAGAATTCGGCTTCATAAAAACAATATTATCTTAATATAAGTGAAATTGATTTCAATATGTTACACGTCTTGTCTGACGGTGCCCCGGACATCGTTCTCGTCGACCCCGTCGCTTGCAATGAAGGGCTCGACAAGTAAATTAACCCACAGACACAGCCCACTGAGCTTACCACCAGTGAGCGAACCACCGACAGCATAGGTAGGAATAAAAGAAGTGGTGGTGCCCGCATGTACACTGTACACCACATACACGTACCACCACTGAATATCTAGTACGAAGCGGTCACCGTTACCGGTCTGTGTGGGTAAAACAACCATCATAAAATATAATTGATAGAATACAAATTAAACTACAGCTCGTGCCTCAAGATGAACAATATTTACTTTATTATTTCTACGGGTTCACGAAACCACTTAAGGTAGATCTTGATTGGCGATCGGCCATTCGTTAGTCATGAGCCTTCAAAGAAATAGGAATTGACTGCAGTTCATAGCATTCCCTTTCCGTAGATTAAATTTGGGTGAGACTGTGCATATAAAAAAAAACATAAGATTTTACTCTTGTAGTCGATATCCAAATAGATTCCGTACAACAAAACCCTCCCTACAAATCTTTTTTTTTTTCTATTCGCCGTTCGTCTGCTAAAACAAATCAAATTATCAAAAACAAAAGTCGTATTTGAATATCAAACGCCTGAAATTATAACCGCCTTTAGCTGCAAAACCCATCAATGGGACTATACGCTTTGATGAGTTACGATTTGACATTAAAACCACAATACAAACGCAAGAAGCATTAAATACATTACGGTACTAATTATTCAATTCGAAATCCACAATTGAAGTATTTACGATCCAAGTTCAGAAGCGGCTAGTTGAAAAGAACGGGAATTAATAATTTATAATTTAAAAAAAATATATACACACAAAAAGCAAACAAGAGAACGGGCCGGTCGCGTGTTTTTGTGGTAGTCATTATTCACGGCTCGTTAATTAAGTAAAAATTTATTCGTATATGTGGAGTTTCGGTAAAAAAACGCATTCCTAGCTTCTAGACTAAAATTCTCCAGTAGGGTTGGCACGGTCGTTGAGATTACTCGATAGGGCTAGCAAATAAATGGTTTTTTAATAAGCTTTTTTAAAACTCGAATCGATCTTTTTCTGAATCCTCGTTCCTCTAAGTCGCTTTCAATAATAGCATGTATAAAGAGTGATATAAACGTCGGACAATAAACTATTGAAGTTTTAGCGATTTTT